TTCCAACAAGTTAATAATATAATAACAGGTCTGGCCGAATCTAGGGATAACTTTTTTCTCTAATTCGAACCAGACCTTCTCTCTTTTCTCTCTTCTTCTTTCCTCTCCTACTTCTACTTCTTGCTGTTCACTTTACTTTATAGTCAACGAACAAGACAGAATTCTAGGGCAGGTCGAACTTCAACAGTTACAAAGAAATCCAAAAAGGCTAATTAGTTCCCAGCATCACAATATACATCAGGTTACAATTTAGCCCATAACAAGCCATCTCTATTAGCTCCTTGCTTTGCCAATACATCTTCCATTCCATTTACAGACCTTATCCACCAGAAAGTGGAATTGAATCTCTTTGCCAAGGTGTCGATCTCCCTAAAAGCATGTCTGTATTTTCATGGAGTTGATCTGATATTCTTGGACCAAGATATGACTAAGAATTTCCTTCCACTTCCAATTCCCTTGCTCCAAATTGTACAGCAAGCCTTAATCCATGTAAGAGAGCCATCACTTCAGTTTGTACTGAATCTCCAAAGCCAATTGGTCCTGAAAATAATGCCACCACCACTCCATGGTTTCTAGGAACACTTCCTATTCCTGCCCTTCCTGAATTACCCAATGAACTACTATCAAAGTTAAGCTTTCAGTTTGTTAGAAGATGGAGGTTTCCAAACCATTCTCACACTTTCTGCAGGTGTAATGTTTGTGCCTCTTCAGTCCAGGATCTTATTATGTCATTTGTTGAGAATTCTCGAAAGAGATCCAAAGTTTTTACCCAATGTGCTGTTTGTATTGTTACAGCTTCAAACAGTTCCTCCTTTGATTTTCTCTTCTCATTAAAGATTCTTTGATTTCTTTCTTCCCATAAGTCCAAATCAGCACTGCTCTTGCTGTCCTCCACATAAGTCTTCCTCTCTTCTTCTGTTGCCTTAAGAAACTGAAATTGAATAGGCCTATTGCATCCTGTGGAGGATCCCATTTGCAACCAAAGAGAGAACAAACGTATTTCCATAACAAGTAAATGAGGAAGGGTCTCACCACTTTCCTTGCAAAGGATACACACATGAGGAGAAAGGCATTTATTTGGCCTTCTTTTTTGTAGCAAGTCCCAAGTATTGATCTTCCCAAGGAGATTTTCCCAACACAGCATGTATTTTAAGAGGGATAGGTTTACACTAAATTCTTTAACCAAGAAAATTTCCCCCAAAGGCTCTGACAAGACCAAAAGGTTAAAGGAAGCACAAGAGAAAAGGCCATCAGGTGAAGGGAACCAAATTCTTCCATTTGGAGAGCTAGGGTCCAAGAACACATTTTCCAACTTTGATAGTAAGAGGACAAGGGAATCAAGCTCAGAATCTCTTAGACCTCTCCTAAACCTAATATCCCAATTTATACCAAGTTGCGATGGTAAACCAAATTTTGAAATGGGTTCAACCTTGTAATTGGATAAAGAAAAAAGGGAAATTGTTGTTTAAGTGGTAGATCCCCAACCCAAAGATCTTCCCAAAATAGGACCCTCTCCCCATTGCCCACATCAAACCAAGTGAAACTGAGAAAGGTTGGTAATATCTCTATTATTGCTTTCCAGGGGATCTTGAAGAAGTATGAGTTGCCAAAATTGCATCCCAGCCATTTTTCTGCTGTATCATGAATGCTTCCAATGACCTTGTGCCACAATCTCTCTTTTTAAAGGAAATCTCTAGAGCCATTTTCCTAATAGAGCTGTACTTCTCTTTGTTAGATTCCCAATTCCAAGTCTTCCCAATTCTTTAGGTTTGCATACATGTTCCCATTTTATAAGATGATCTCTTCTTTCACTCCCCGGTTCCCACAATAAATCTCTCATAATTTTTCCAAGTTCTTTGCAATCCTGACCGGTATTCTAAAAGTGCAAAGGAAGTAAGTAGGCAAGGTGGCTAAGGTGGATCTAATTAGAGTAATTCTTCCTCCCATAGAAATGTAACTCCTCTTCCAAAGAGCTAACTGTTTTGTGAACCTTTCTATTACTGGTTTCCAAAAGCTTTCTAACATAGGGTTACCCCCAATGGCATACCAAGATACTCTAGAGGAAAACTCCTAATCTCACAACCTAGTATTTTTGCCACCTCCTGAATATCTTGTTCTCCCATATTATTCCTACCACACAACTCTTCCCCAATAAACTTTCAACATTGATACCCTTTGGAATCCTTTAACTAGATTTTTTAAGTTCCTCACACTAGATTCACTGCAGTCCAATTCTTATTTTTCTTTGTGTTCTTGTGATTTGTCTAAATATTTAGGGTTTTTAATACCCATTCAAGGTTTTGCTTTACATTGAGAGATTCCTAATAGTCTTCTAGGATTGGTAAGAATGCAATTAGTTTTTATAAGTTACTAGCACATTATAATCCTTGTTCATATGGTGGTTGATTCATTTATATATTCTACGTATCAATGTTTTAAAAGGCATGGAAGGTATGCGCTTGGAGGCACACCTCCAAGCGAGACACTCCAAAATGCCCTAGGTGCCCCAAACGCCCTAAGGTGTATGCCAGAGGCATTGATACCTCTGAGGTGTACATCTCAATACGCCTTTTTCATGAGGCATGCTAGAGGTGTACGCCTCATGTGCCTCACACACACCTCATACAAAAAGACAGAAAAAAAAGAAAAAAAAAAGAAGAGAAAGGAATGGAATGGAAAGGAAAGGAAAGGGAAGGGAAAGAAAAAGAAAGAAAGAAAGAGAAGAAAGAAAATAAAAGAAAGAAGAGAAAACGGAAGGGAAAGGAAGGAAAGAAAAGGGGAAAGAAAAAATAAAGGAGAAAGAGATCCTCCTTCCTTTTCTTCCTCCCCCCCTCCTCCTTCCTTTTCTCCCTCCCCCCTCCTCCTTCCTCCTTATCCTCCTCCTATTAAGGAGGCTTACACCTCCTTGTGTTTGGGAGGCTTACACCTCTTACATGCTGAACTATGCCTCACGCCTCCAGGTAGTGGAACACCACACCCATAGTTACACTTCTAATTCTAGTTTGTGTTTTTTTTTTTTTTTTCTTTAGGAACCAAGCCTCACATCTCTAGGCTTACTCCCACACATTGGAGAGCCTAGCATCCCATATAACATTAGGGGTGATCATGGGTTAGGCTCAGACCAGCCTGGCATGGGAAACTGGGTTTTCAATAGGTATCAATAGTCTCAGCTAGTTTAAAATGTCTAATATAGCAGGAGGTATTTCATCTTAGAGTTTAATGACTACACTAATAATTTTAGGAACATATCTCCAGAAATGTCTTAACTTCATGCTTCAACCTCTCCCTGGGTATGATTTTCCTCCCCTGAAAAGTTTATCATGTTATCATTCTCCAGCAGTTTGCTTATTTATTACTAGTTATGAGATGAAAATGCCTGTCTTTATCAGATTAAGAATACTTATAACTGTTTGAGAAAACGACCTTGAAGAACTGAACTATTTTTAAGGTTGTTTCCTCATCAGCGCCTCTATGTCTAGATGAATATTGTTATTGGTGCAGTGGTAAAACATGAGATTGACAGTGTGATTTAGGTATACATCAGTTCACCCCTCCCAAGACTGAACATTGGATAATAACCCTTTAAGCAAACATTGCTGTTTGAATATCCACAACAGTATAGTTCTTATTAGTGGGGCTGTTAGTTGGTTTTGAATAAGAGTATCTTTATCTTTTAAAAGCAACATCTAAACAGTATTTAAATTAACAACAGAAATTAAAAATAAGGAAACTCTTGGCCCTTATTAAACATGGAGGCATGAGCAGGAAAATCCAGACTGCTAAAACCTATGCCCCTTATAACATGGAGGCCATGGTCCTTGATATTCTATCTGAATGTGTTCACCATGGAAGAAAAGGCTCTAGCTTCCTTAATGAAATCCCCAATGTAAATACCTGAAGGCCGAAGTTAAACATAATAAATTTTTGTGTTCAAGCCAAGCATTATAATTTTGATTGTGCAATAAGAATTGTTGTACCTATTGATCCAAACTTATATTTGGAGTTGCAAGATGGTAACAGCTGCTTAAATGTTCTTTTGTTCTTTTTTGCCCTTTTGCAGGTATCACTCTCATCACAATGCTTACCTTGAGATTTGTCGTAGCTACAAGGCTATATATGAGATCCCATCTGTGAAAGAAGATTCAGCACAGTGGATACCAGTGAGGACTTTTCCTAAATACATGTCTTTTGAGTGCCTTCTACAGTGTTCCCTGACAATATTCCTTGTTTGCAGGTCCTAAGGAAAATTTGCTGGTACTTAGTGTTGTCTCCACATGATCCAATGCAGACAAGCCTTCTTAATTCCACTTTGGAAGATAAGAATCTATCTGAAATTCCAAAATTTAGGTATATCTTGTGTGATCTTGGTGCTTCTTTTAAAGCCTTCCCTGCCTTGTTTCATAAAATCATTCAGTTTTGTGTCATCTATGGTCTTTCTTATGCCTGACTACTGTCCTGCTTACCATCTCAGGATGCTCTTGAAACATCTGATCACAATGGAGGTGATCCAGTGGACGACCCTATGGGAGACATATAGGATAGAGTTTGAGAACGAGAAGAATATGCTTGGAGGCTCTTTGGGTGACAAAGCAGCAAAAGATCTTAAACAAAGGATTATTGAGCATGTAATTGTTTCTTGCATGTCAAAGTTGCATTATCTAATGTTTTCCCCTTAAAATTTTAGATCTTCAACTATTTGGGTAATGTGTACTTTCAGAACATATTGGTCGTATCAAAGTATTACTCTAGGATCATGTTGAAGAGACTTGCAGAGCTATTGTGCCTCACTATCCAGGTTTGCTATTGTGCCTCACAATCTCCCCTGATACTTCTCTTATGAGACCATTATGAGCATTATACTTCTTGATAGTTTATGCATCTGCCACTCCTTGGAGTTCATTGTTATTCTACCTGGGGTGTTGTAACTACAGTGGCTATAGGTAGTGGTGCAACCGAATTGAGCTCTAATCAAATACTTCAAGCTCAAGTTTGATTAGGCTTGATTCAAGTTCAATTCTAATTGAGTTTGAATCTCAAGGCAAGGTTGGTTGGTTATTCAAACTCGAGCTCAACCAATAAAAAGTTAGGCTCATGTAAAATATATTTTTATATTTATATATAATACAAGAATGTACTATATATTATAAAAATATATTCATTTTCGAGCTTTCTAGCCAAACTTGAGATCATCAAATATTTAATCAAACCGAGCTTGAATCGGGAATTACAGCTCGAGTTCACAACTCGAACTTGAACCACGTAGTGTTTTAGTCGAGTCAAACCAAGACATGCCAAAGTTCGGCTCGGCTCGGCTTAATTACTCCCCTAGCTACAAGAAGTGTGTATATGGTGAGGTGGTTCTTTTATATTTAAAATTTAGATTGTTTTTGGTGTTCACATCTCTCTTTTATGGGATTAAGGGCATGATTGGTCCTCTGCCATTATGAAGTGCTACTGCAAACTCTGTTCTAAGATTTTTATGTAATATGTAAATAGCATACCTTTTTTTCACTTTTCAGAAAAAAGTGCTACTAGTAGTTCTTTCCAAGATGTCTCTTAAAAATCGATTGCATATTGTAATTAGATAAAGTATCTGATTAATGGATATATATTTTTATTGTCCCCATAATTTGTTCTTATGTTGTAGACTTGAAAAGGCTCTCTATATCTGTCTTTTGATCTGGCCCAAGTTTGTACAAGGATGAATCAGTGATTTAAAAGGTGCGCTTGAGGCAATTGCTTATGCCACCTATGTGAAGTGTAGAATCAGCTTCATGAATTCCATTCTACATGTTATTACCAAAAACTAGAATACAGAAGAAAAACAGCCTTTTGAAAAGAAATGACTGTTTAAAAAGTTGCAGTAAATCAAAAGGAAGTAGCAGAAATCAGATTTCAAGAAGAGAGAAGAAGGTGGCGGCAACTTGGGTCCAGAGAGAGATTTTCGAACATAACCTTCTCTCTAACACCCCTAATTCCATTTCATAAGTTAAACTTTAGTAATCTACAGAGAGGCCCCTAGTTGGGTAGAAAATTAAAAAACATAACATAAGAAAGAATAAAGCCTAGATTAAGGCCCATTACAGCAAAGAACATAAAGATAAAAAAGGATAAACAGCCTATGGGCCATTCGGCCCATCTTCTCTACACTCCCCCTCAAGCTGAGCATAGATGTCAATCATGCCAAGCTTGCCAATATCATGCTGAAGTTTATCCTTGGGAATGCCCTTGGTGAGGAAATCAGCTAACTATCCTTCAGAAATGATGAAAGGTAGACACACCTCTCCAGAAGCCACTCTTTCTCAAATGAAGTGTTTGTCAACTTCAATATGTTTAGTTCTGTCATGTTGCACTAGATTGTGAGCAATGTTGCTGGCAACCTGATTATCACAGTATAACATCATTTTCTTATCATGCTCAGTACCCAGTTCCTCCATCAAGGATCTAAGCCATAGTARTTCAGAAACTCCATGAGCCATGGYTCTGTATTCARCTTCGGCTGAAAATCGGGCAACAACTGATTGTTTCTTGCTTCTCCAAGAGACAATATTACCTGCCACCAAGCTACAGTAACTAGAGGTAGATCTTCTGTCATCATGTTTCTAGCCCAATCAGCATTTGTGTAGGCTTCAAGTTTCATATGGCCATGCTTAGCAAATAGAATTCCCTTTACAGGGGAACCCTTCAAATAACAAAGAATTCGCTCTACTGCTACCATGTGAGTATCCCTGGGAGCATGCATGAACTGGCTAATGCAACTGACAACATATACAATGTCTAGCCGAGTCATGCATAGATAGAGAAGTTTTCCAAGTAGCCTCTGGAAGACTCCCTTATCTTTCAACAATATTCCATCTGAAGCAGAGTGATTATGACTCATATCAATAGGAGTAGCAACTGGTCTAGCACCCATCTTCCCTATTTCAGAGAGCAAATCAAGTACATACTTTCTCTGAGATATAAGGATCCCATCTTTGGATCTAGCAACTTCTATGCCAATAAAGTATCTCAATTCCCCCAGATCTTTGATCTTAAACTCTGTATGAAGGAAAGATTTGAGATCATTAATCCCTGATACATCATTACCAGTCACAACAATATCATCTACATACACAATCAGGTAAACGACCAAGAATCCTCTCCTCTTCACAAAGAGGGTATGATCAAATTATGTCTGTACATAGCCAAAGCTAACAAGGGCAGCCCTAAACCTTTCAAACCATGCCCTAGGGGACTATTTAAGTCTATAAAGAGATTTCTTCAGCCTGTAGACCTTCCCTTTCATATCTATTTCATACATCCTTGGAGGACGAAACATATAGACCTCCTCATGTAACTCTCCATTTAGAAATGCATTCTTTACATCTAGCTAATAAAGTGGCCAGTCAGAGATAGCAGAGGCATCAATTGGCAATAGGAGCAAAGGTCTCCAGATAATCAATCCCATATGTTTGTGTATAACCTTTTGCAACCAGCCTAGCCTTGTACCTTTCAATGGTGCCATCAGCATGATATTTGATGGTAAAAACCCACTTACAACCTACTGGATCCTTCCCTTTAGGTAAATCAACCACGTCCCAAGTGTCATTCTTGTGCAGGGCATCAATTTCTGTTCTCATACCATCCCTACATTCTAGAATAGTAAGAGCTTCTGACACAGACCTAGGAATTGGGTTAGAAGCAACAGAAGAAAGGTAGCCAAAATATGAAGGAGAGAGCAAACTATAAGAAAGGTGTTTGGAAATGCAATGTGTACTACACTTTATTTTTTCTTTCCTAATAGCAATAGGGATATCAAGGTCTAGAAAGTATGACTCTAAAGGGGTTGTATCAGTATTTGTTGTCTCTTCTGTGACTAGAAGTGTAGGAGGCTCATGTGCTGTAGGGGAAACAATCTGTTCACTTTTGTTCTCTGTCGTTGGTACAACTTGGGATTAAAAAGAGGACGAGGAGGTAAAGGATGAGGGATAGGAACACTAGAATGAGAATGAAATGATTGATCCTCCCTTGACTCATTTGAAGGAGAAAGAGTCTCAACAGAAGACTCAACTAGGACAGGAAGGGGGAGAGCAAACAACTGTGACAAATTCTCCCCCTTTGGACAATGCCTCTCTTGAAAAGAATCATAAAAGGAAGAGAGCTCATCAAAGGTGACATCCATTGAGACATATCGAGTGTCAGTCTTTGGATCAAAACAACAATAACCCTTTTGTTTGGGGGAATAACCAAGGAAGATACACTTGTGGGCTTTTGGTTCAAATTTATGTCTCTGGACACTTGGGGTATGTACATAACAAGTGCAGCCAAAGACACGGAAAGGAATACGAAAAAGATCCTTGCCCGAATGAAGAAGATTAAAGGGAGACTTAAACCCCAAAACCCTAGATGGCATACGGTTGATTAGGTAGGTTGTAGTGAGAACAACATCACCCCAAAATTTTGTAGGGACATGTAAGGCAAATAGGATACTTCTTGCAACTTCAACAATATGCCGATTGTTTCTTTCAGCAACTCAATTCTGCTCTGGGGTCCTAACACAGGAGCTTTGGTGAATAACCCCCAAATCAGTGAGATAGTAGGTCAAGTTTTTCTCAAAATATTCTTTTGCATTGTTGGATCTGAAAATTTTAATTTTGGTATCAAATTGGGTTAGAACAAATTCATGGAATTGCCTCACAAGTCTGGGAACTTCATCAAAAATATCCAAGCGAACCGAGAAAAGTCATCAATGAACAAGATAAAATATTTGTAGCCACCCATGAAAGGTAAGTGGTAAGGCCCCCACACATCAAAGTGCACAATATGAAATGGAGAAGATCTTTTATTACTCAAAGGATAACTGCTTCTACGATGTTTTGACAATTCACACGACTCACAATGAAGACTGGACAGACTAATTCTCTTAAATAGTTTTGGGAATAAATGACTTAATGCAGAAAAAGAAAGATGACCCAAACGAAAATGACATAACATGACTCGACTGATGGACTCTGTAGATGTAGGCCCAAAAGCAGCTTTTCCAAGTTGTCCATGGCTCTTTCCAGGAGTGTCCAATAGATATATTCCATTCGCCTCATGGCCACTCCCAATCACTTCCTGAGACTCCAGATCCTGAAAAACACAATAGGAAGGAAAGAAGGTTACACAACAGTTTAATGACTTAGGCTATTTACAGATAACAAATTTGTATTTAGCTTGGGTACATGAAGAGCAGAAGGAAGTACCAAGGAATCTGTAGCCTTGATGGTTCCCTTGTCGGAGATAGGGGCAAGAGAGCCATTGGTTAGGGTGATTTTGTCACGGCCAGGAAGTAAATCATAAGAAACAAACAAAGTGGAAAGGTTGGTCATATGATCAGAAGCACTAGAATCAATAATCCAAGGAATCCTACGATTACTTGAAATAGTTGCATGTTGGCAAAAGCCCGTATACCTGAATGACCAAGTGCAGAAGAGGTTGAATTTCCTGGAGGGTTGGAAGAAGAGGCCACACCCTCTAGGTGATTGATCATCCTTCCAAACTCTTCATACTCTGCCTTCGTAGCTACTAACTGCTCACTAGCAGTCATCTCTTTAGTTAGGTATCTGTCACTATCTAGACCAGCAGCAATATTGGCACTCCCTGCTTTCATATTATCAGACTTCTTTTGAAACCGAAGAGGAAGAAGCTTAGGATGCAATTTCCAACACTTGTCTTTAGTGTGTTTTGGCTTCTTATAGTACTCACAAATAATTTCTTTTTTCCCTGAGCTACTTGGAGTCCCTACAACTCCCTTGGGTTTCACTCCCATATTAGCAAAGTGATCATTTAAACCAGCCCCTTGAACTTGGGCAAGTCTCTTGCTTTCTTTACTACTTATCAAGGCATAGGCTTGAGACAGTGAAATCCTTGGATAAAATATTTTGCTTTGTGATGTCATACTCTGGATTCAGCCCTRTCAAAAACTCAAACACCCTATTTCTCTCAACAAATTTCCTGTAGGTCTCAGCATCATTAGTGGTGTCCTAGGCTACAACTTCTATCAAATCAATTTCTTGCCATARAGACTTCAGTATTGAGAAATAAACAGCTAAAGGTTTCTCCCCCTGTCTCAAATTCTTCACATCACTCTTAAGCTTGTAAGCCCTGGCCACATTTAATTTCTAGGAATAGGTCTCAGCAACACTATCCCAAATTTCCTTTGCTGAATTCATCCACAAATAGTGTTGACTAATCTGCGGTTGCATTGAGTTCATAAGCCATCCAATAATAGTATAATTTTCTTGCATCCATTTTTCATATGATGGATCATCTTCCGAAGGAGCCTTTTTGCTCCTGGAGATAAAACCCCATTTGCCTCTACTGCATATATGAATTTTTACTGATTGTGACCAAACCAGATAATTAGTTCCATCTAACTTGACTATGGTCAACAACATGCTTGTCTTCAACTTTTGAAGGGTTCATCTTCTTAAAGTACTTCGAAAATAACTTCTAACAACTTCGAATAACAACAAATGAAGATAGAATAAAAACTGTGTTGTGAGCCAATCTCTATGCAGCCATACCAGCTACCTGCATCACACCCGGAATGACATCCTAATTGGTTCAAATACCCAAATATTAGTCCATCTTGGCCTAACTCCTTTCCTTATACAGCATTGCATGACATCCTAATTGGTGCACTTGTTAGTTTTGAATTGGCATAAGAAACCATCTTACTTGGCTTAGCTAACCTTATTTTATTGAGGCAGTGAGCAAGCCATTTTGCCCCACTTTTTCTTTCTCTGATACCATCCAATAACATATAGTAAATTGTCTTCAATAGCATGAGAGGGTACCTTTTATTTTCATCAGTAACATATCAAAGAGGCTAACAGAAGGGTCTTCACCACTGTTTCCTATGAGTCCACATCTCCAACAGGACCAGTAATGGCCAAAAAGACACTACCATCCAAGGTTCAAAATATTGATACAGGGTGATACGCCCTAATGCCTGTATCTGTAATGTTTTCTTTCTTTTTTTTTTTTTTTTTCAAATCTGGTTCAGAGGGGCCGGTTTAAGGTTGGTCTACCCTCTGAACCACTCACTGACCCGAAACACCCCCTGTAGGGGTGTATCAGGAAGGCCCCAAAACGATACGTATCTGCTGATATGGCCCAATACATAATGATGTTTTGAACCTTGCTACCTTCTCCTTTATAGAATAACCCTCCAATACCAGCTAGCTCCAGATTTAGGGTGGAGCTTTTGTCAAATTTACCAACTTCAATGTCAATCCTCATCTTTGCTACACTGATTTATGAACACGTGTTTGTTTCATGATTCCCAACTCTGTTCCATAAGGAGTGAAAAGTATTATAGGTATTCCTATAAAATGTTCTCTTATATTATATTTGCCAATCATAGCATATTCCTAAATGCACCTTCCCAAGATAGTTGAAGAGTGTACCATGGTGGCCAATAGGTGGTTGTATTGGCCAGTCCCCCTTTTACTTTTTGGACACCTTGTATCTTCTTTTCATTTAACTACAACATTATTTCATTAAAAAAAAAGAACCAAGAAAGGAAGGAATATGGATTTGGTACTATAACCTGTTATAACATATTAGTGAGCATTAGTAATTAAGAGTTCCATAACAGCTTGGTTCATCTTAGAATCTCTTCAACTGCATGTCAGGAAGCTGAGAAGCACCTATCAGATATGGTTGTCTCCAAGTCTCTGGTTGCAAAGATTGATAGGCCAATGGGAACAGTCTGCTTCCAGACAGCAAAGGACAGCAATGACATTCTCAATTCATGGGCAATGAACTTGGAGAAGCTGCTTGATCTTGTTGAGAAGAGTTGCCACCAAATCCACAAGGAAACCATGGTTCACAAAGCTGCTCTGAAAGTCTAAATTCAGAAGTATGAGTCTCTCTCTCCATGTGTATGTTTGTGTTTATTTATATGCCATGCATAGAAAAAATATTTGTACTCGTCAAATTTTTTATCCAGGGATGATTAGTTTACATGTTCCTCATTTGTTACAGCAACTCCTATCTGAAAACCTTGACACATGGCATAAAGATCAACTTTAATATATAACATTATTTATACTATGAGATATAAGAATTAAGACCTATTATTGGTATGGCACAAGTTGCAACAAACTTTGGGTAATGGTCTGCTGCTCAACAGGATAAAATGGGTGTGGCTGATTTTTGAGGGTTTATCATTGAATATCTGGATCTATATTCTTATCCTCCTATGTGTCAAGTTTCACATATCATAACATAAACCTTTCACCAGAAACAAGGTTGAATTTTATGTTCAATTAAATCTTTTATAAGGAATATTGACTTATTAATAAGAAGTCCTGTATCCTTAGAAATACTCTCTCCAGAATATCCAATGTTTTCAATGTTTATAAAATCAATAGTGGAATCTTGATTTGGCGCTCCAGGAGATTTGCAGTTTAAGCCCTTTACTGCAAACACAGTTGCTCCATAATTCATAGTATTGGTTGTGATAGAGTTTTGTATCACGTTGTAAGCTGATTTTGTTTGGTAACTTCGGTTAATCTCCATGGTATGACCCATCAGATGGTGGATCCTGGTCTCTAAATACAAACTGTTGTATAGATCATTTAGCTCTAGACCCAGGTGTTTGCTCATTAAATAAGCAGCGGCCATATATGCTAAGGTCGCTCAAAATTTAAAATTTTTACTTGAAGTAGCCTAAACTACATGCAAATATTAGCGAGGAGCGTAGGTAGGTTGGGAACTTTGGTTTTGTTTTATTACCAAAGTAGATATGAATAATTAAATGCTAATACTACTTTTTCTTATCAGTTTGTACTGAATAATCACTGAACTTCATACTGGGTCATATTGGATTATCTACCACAGAATATTAACTGGGACATAACATCAGTTTCAAATTTTCTGCCTTGTAGGTTGCTTCTGATGCTACTTCATATTTTGCCATAAAGTAGGTCACTTGTATTGACTAGTGTTACAACTATGTCTTTTGTTATGGTGCGAGAACAGTGGTTAGGTAACCATAAAGTAGGTCATGCCTCCAGATCATGAATTGGGTTGTCTTGTCTGATGTTGTATGCCCATTTCATTAACTAAAAACACCGGGTCCAAAGCTGTTTTTTTTTTATTTTTTTTTTTGGGCCTACGGGCTTTTCCTTCAAAAGAAAAGCTTTTTTTTTTTATTTTTTTATATATCAGTAGAAGGATCGGATATCTTGGCTGTGTTTATCATTGTTTGCCTTCTCGTTACAGTTATCAAAGTTTCAATTGTGATGAGCTGCAAATGGTTCTGGCCAAATTTCAATAATTCGCTGGCTGTCGTATGTAACTTCGTTGGTGATACCAGATTTGATGAACTGAATGGGGATTGTGCTTATTTTATGTTTCCGACTTTCCGTTTCTTCCTTCGGAGCAATGGGTACCTGAAATGCATACTGATCATGTTACGTTTTTATCAGAAATCATCTTACATTCTTGTTTCATTTGACATTTGCATATTTGAGTCTTACTACATCTCCCTGACGCATAGAGGTTTTCATAAACCTCCTTTGAGCAAGGTTCAAAGTATCGATCGGCTGATACATGTGCCAATGGCTTTTCGATACGTTCCTCCAAGGATTGTATTGGGTCAGACATTGGTTCAGAGGGTAGTTAGGCCTTAAATTGACCCTTCTGAACTGGTTTTGAAAAATGAATAAATAAAACCTAAAAAAAAGTAGTAATACCGTCGATACTTTGAACCTTGCCTTTGAGATTTGCTGCATGGGAGCTTTCAAGCTTTCAAAAACTTCCTTCGAGGTTTGAGATAAGGTGTGAAGTATCTATCGGCCATTGGATTTTTGATATTATGGGTGAAGGGATGAGAGATCCATCCCATGGACGCCCAAAGATTGCGGAATAATGGGCGAATTTCAAAAAAAATTTCTCCTTTCAATTGGGAACCGCATTCTCTTAAACTGAATCAGATCTGAATCAAAAGGAATAGGGGAGAATTATACCTGATACGGAGAAGTAGTATTTCCCAACGGAGGTGTTCACGCCCAAGGAAGGATCCAAAAACTGCTCCCACT